CCTATCCACTATGGGTGACCTTACTGGTATTTGAAATACTGGTGGCATAGCCTCTAGCCTCACAGCAACACATACGCCACCACAGGATGACAAACTGACAGATGAGTGGTGGATTTAAGAATCTTGTGATTGTTTCCTTTTCTGCTTTGGCTACCAGGAAGCTCACAGCCAAAGTGATGGCAACTGCTTGAACCTTAAGACTGCTCTTTCCTCTCTCTATCCTCCCGCCTTATTTTTCCTTCTTCTATCCTCCTCCCATTGGTGATGACTTTCATATAATTCATTCTTTTCCATTTTCCCATTTTGTAGGTTGTGTTTATCTTTGAAGGAGATCTGGTAGTACAGTAGTTAAGCACTTGGCTTCTAATCAAAAGGTCAGTGGTTCAAATCCTCCAGCAGCTCCATGATAGAAAGGGTGGCATTCTGCTTCTGTAAAGATTGACAGCCTTGGAGACCCTGTGGTGCAGTTCCACTCTGTCCTCTAGGGGCGCTGTGAGTCAGAATCGACTCCATGGCAGCGGCTTTGATTTTGAAGCTTCAGTAACACTATTGCTAGTGTCATCATCATCATCATTAGGAAAAAACAATGGCCACTGAGTTGACTCTGACATTTGGCAAACTCATGGGTATCATAGTAGAACTGTAAGCCATGGGGTTTTCAGTGGCTGATTTTGGGGAAGTAGGTTGCCAGGCGTGTCTTATGAGGTGCCCCTGGGTGGACTTGAAGTTCCAAGCTTTCAGTTAGTAGCTGAGCACATTGGTTGTTTGCACCAGCCAAGGACTCCCATCAGTAGAGGTGGCACTAGTAAGAGTAGTAGGGGTGGTGCAGTAGTTACTTTTCTTTTAAAAACAGTAGTCACTGTTTCCCAACATTCCAGTGAGTGTTTGTTGATTGAGTGCAAGATGGTAGTGATGTGTCTGCCTGGTGTCCTCTGTGTCTGCCAGCCATGCACGGGACCTTCGTGATTCTGCTGCCGTTCAGCCTCATCCTCATGGTCTTCGGGGGCATGATGGGCTTTCTGAGCTTCCTCATCAGAGCCTCGCCCCTGCTCCTGCTCGCCGGGGCCCTCTTCCTCTTTGGAGGTAGGCGCCCCTGCCC